AGAACCATTCCAAGCTGGTTAGAACCATTCCCAGCCGGGTAGAACCATTCCAAGCTGGTTAGAACCATTCCAAACTGGATAGAACCATTCCCGGCCGGGAATGGTTCTAACCAGCTTGGAATGGTTCTAACCAGCTTGGAATGGTTCTACCCGGCCGGGAATGGTTCTACCCGGCTGGGAATGGTTCTAACCAGCTTGGAATGGTTCTAACCAGCTTGGAATGGTTCTACCCGGCCGGGAATGGTTCTACCCGGCCGGGAATGGTTCTAACCATTCCCGGCCGGGTAGAATGGTTCTTCCTGGCTGGTAATGGTTCTTCCTGCCTTGGAATGACTCTTCCTGCCTTGGAATGGTTCTTCCTGGCTGGGAATGGCCTTGCCTGGCTTGGAATGGTTCTTCCTGCTTTGGAATGGTTCTTCCCGGCTTGGGATGGCCCTGCACGGCCTGGAATGGTTCTTCATGACTGGGAATGGTCCTGCCTGGAGTGGCCACAGAAGGGTAGGATGGCACAATCCGGTGTGGCATGATTCTACCCAGCACAGGTGTAACAGCATGGACTGGCATGGACTGGCTTGGTCCTGCGTGGCATGGCCACTACAGAATGGTGAGATGTGGTCCAGAATGGCCACAGATGCAAGGAGTGACATTGTCCTGCACGGCATGGCTTGCTCTGGCAGGGACACAATAACATGGGATGGCATGGTCCAGCCCAGCTTGGTCCAGCATGTCCACAGCAGCATGGGATGGCCTCAGAATCACCTATCCACGGAATAGCCATGGAAGGGTCCATTTCCTGTGGCCACCATAGCATGAGTAGCATGGACCAGCACAATCCGGCTTGGTCCAGCCTGGCATGGCCATGGCAATGTGGTTTGGCATGGTGTGGCATGGCTTGGTCCAGCCTGGCATGGCCATGACAGTGTGGTTTGGCGTGGTCTGGCATGGCTTGGTCCAGCACAGCATGGTGCTGCATGTCTCTCGGTAGCATGGCCAAGCACGGCACAGGATGGCCCGTTCTCCCTGGATCCCTGTATTCCCTGGCCCCATGCCTGGACTGGGGCTGGGTAAGGGGGGTTCTGGCAGGGCCCAGGGGCCTGTGGTGCCAGGGGGCTCGGCTGGGGGCCCTCTGGATGGTGCCATGGGGGAAGTGGAGGAGCCAAGCCATGCACAAGGCATCAGTAGGACACACCTTTATTTTGATGTCTCATGGCCACGACAGGGCAAATCCCCACTCCCCACCCTCCAAGCCCTTGGTCCAGAGTGGTTTGGTGACCACGGCTCCTTAGCTGTCCCACGCTGGGACACCAGTGCGGCGCGGGGCCAGCGGCCCCGACTCGGACACGGCCGGCGAGTCGCTGTTTCGCGCCTGGGTGAAGATGCGGTTGCGGGTGCCGAAGAGGGTCCCGCGGCCGTGGCTCTGGGGGGCGTAGGGCCTGCGCTGGCAGCGGAGCGAGCAGAGGGGGGCCCTGAAGACCTCCTGGAAGCCCCTCCGGAAGTTCTCATTGAAGTAGCCGTAGATGATGGGGTTGGCACTGCTGTTGAAGAAGGCCAACCAGTGGGCGAACGGGTAGATGTAGACGGCGAGCAGGCGGAGCTGGCCCTCGCTCAGCCGCCCATAGTCCGTCAGCAGCATCAGCGTCCAGAGGGGCAGCCAGGAGATGGTGAAGAAGAGGGCAACTATGATGAGCATGTTGATGACCTTGGCCTTCCTCCGGGAGATCCTCCTGCCCTCCGGCTCCTCTCCGCCGTGGGCAGGCGCCACCGACTTGAAGAGCTTGAAGGCGATGCGGGCGTACATGATGATGATGAGGGCGAGGGGAGCCACGTAGATGTGGGAGAAGAGGACGATGGTGTAGATCCTCCTCATCTCCGTCTCGGGCCAGGCCTCCCAACAGGAGTAGAGAGGGTAGGAGTTGTTGTAGGTGTCCACCATGAAGTGGTGCTCCTCCCTGGTGACAGTCAGGGTGACGGCAGCAGGGCACATGATGAGCAGGGCCAGCACCCAGATGATGGCGATGGTCAGCAGGGCTTTCCTCAGCGTCAGCTTCTGCCGGAAGGGGTGGACAATGCAGCGAAACCTGTGGGAGAACAGATGGTGGTGGCTTTGGGCACCTGGTGGGGACATCACTGGGGAAGGAGGGCAGCCAGGACCCAGAGGTGGGAATGGAAGGGGAGGTGGGTTGCTCTTTACATGTGTCTTTTGGTGGAAGAGATAGGTTGGTGTTTTCAGCCCAGCGTGGGGAAGGACACCTTGCTGGAATACCCCATGGACAGCTTTGTGGTCTCCCTGGAGAGCTGTGACAAGTTCCTGACATTCCCAGGAGTTTTCTCACAATGGGAGCCGCACAGGGCACCTGGACCTGCTGGAGATTGCCTGGTCCCCACGTTCCCACGTTCCCATGCCGACGTACCTCTCCACAGCGATGGCGACCAGCGTGAAAACGGAGGCGGAGACCGACATGCCCTGCACCAGACCACTCATTTTGCACATGGTGTTGTCAAAGGGCCAACCTGTGAGGGGACACCATGGAGGCTGTAGGTGCCTCTGGCTCACCCAGCTCCCTTCAGGTGTCCCCACCCACTGTGTTGTTGCTGGGGGATGCCAAGCTGTGCTCCTAACAGGGGGCTTGTGTGGAGATAGCCTTTAGCAGCATGGATCCTTGAAGAAGAACCCCAAGATTGGTAAAAAAGACACACATTACACTTAGAAACTCAAGGAACGTGGAGGCTGTCATTTTTCCTACCGGCTTTGGGATCCTTAATCAGAAGGACTTACATCTTGTTTCGTGTCCCCAATATCAAGGCAATAAATAGATCACACCCCATAATCAATAAATACAAACCCTGCCCCATGGCCTGGCCGCTGCTGCAGCTGATCCCTCCCAACTCCCTTATCTTTGGAAAGGTCAACAGGCAGAGCTGAGCCAGCACGGGAGAAGGTGGATGCAGGAAGAATAGGAGGGTTTTTTTCAGCGTTGCTTGGTGAAGAACGGCTGAACTTCAAAAAATATGCAAATGCAACATTAGGGTCAAACTTATTTTACCACAAATGGCCAAAACCTCAAAAAAAAAAAAAAAAAAACCCAGAAAAAGAAAGGATGTTTCCCACTCAGGCATGGGGGGCGCTTTCTCTCCGTTCCTCGTATCTCTCCCCTTCCTCTGCCCTGCTCACCTGTGATGAGGTTGTCCACCAGGGTGGTGGGCATGCAGAAGATGCCCACCAGCAGGTCACTGATGGCCAGGTTGAGGAGGAACATGTTGGTGACCGTGCGCATCTGGCGGTTCTTCACCACGACGAAGCACACCAGGACGTTGCCGATCACGCACATGAGGAAGATGAAGGTGTAGGCCAGGATGAACATGAGGGCCACGGGGGAGGAATGCTGGTAGTATGCCAGGAAGGTGTAGTTCTCCCTCAGGATGTGGCTGGCACTGGAGTTGGGCCACCAGGTGCCGTAGGAAGGGCCTGGGGAAGGCAAGGCAGGAAAATGAAGCCAGGAGAGAATAAAGCAATTATTCCCTTCATTTCTTAATGCCTCCAGAGGTGGGTTTTCATATTTATTCCAGTGCCCAGACTGGCTGGGATATGTCCTGCTGGACTCATCTTTGTGCCCCAACAAGTCTCCTCCTCCTTGGGTTACACAGCTCAAGCTTCTGCGGCACCTTGGCTGAATTATTATTTTTCACCGTTATGGTTTGATATCACTGATATCATTATTATTTGATATAATTATTGTTTGATATCGTTATTATTTGCATCGTTCTTTTGGTGAGCAGCCCAGAAGATACCCTGATCTCTTTAGGGATGATGGAAGGAAGACAAATCCACATCCTGACACTCCAATGCTCCGGCCTTGTGGGAGCTGTGTCCGGGCTGGCCTGGGAGCATACCTGCCCCTGCTGCTTCTCCTTCTGCTTCCAAGGTTTACAGTTCCATATTCCCCAAAATCTTCTTCTCCCCAACAAAGCCGCAATAACCAAGGGAAAGGGGCAGAGGACACCCTCCCCTCCCATCTGAAGCGAGAGTTGTCATTCTGATCATTAGTGGGAGCTTCTGATGGAGGCGCGGGGGTGGAATTTTGTCACTACGGATGGAACGGGGCTCCGCAGCTCCCACCCTCGGGCTTCCCCAGCCGCACACAGGCAGGGATGCGGGAGGATGCCGGGCGTGGGCAGGAGCTGCCTGCAGCGGTGACGGGACTGACTCCGGGAGAATCCAGGCTGCAGTGGTGAGGCGAGGAAAGGCACGTTTTAGCTTTAAGCGCCTGTAGGACAGCCCTGCAAAGCCGCTGTGTGATGGGCAGCTGGAGCATCCCCCCATCCCTGTGCCTGGTGCTCAGCTCGCCAGCCGAGATGCTTTTCCCAGCCACAGGGACCATCGGCTTCCTCAGGATTCCGGCCCTATCCAGCCCCTAACACCCCAGTCCTGGGTGCAGGATTTGGGCAACACATTTCCAGTGGGGATTCAGAACGGCGCTGGGGGTGGTTTGCAGCCCACACAGGAGAAGGAGCCTCTTGGAGAGGCAAGGGAGAAGCGGGAACGAGGGGGCAAGATTCTGTCAGACACATGAACCAGCTTTGTAAGCAGGAACAATAACAAAGACTGTGATGAGATTGCCCAAAATCTGTGATATTAAGCCTAAAACTTCTCTGGACTTTATCTTTTGGGGCTGCAGTGCAGCATGAGCAGGAGGTTAGTGTCCTATGGATTTGGAGGTGGCTTTAAAAGCCAGGTGGAAGATGGGGAAAGGAAAATAAGGGGCTGCTGAGCACCCGGGTTGGTGCTGGATGGATGGATGGATGGATGGATGGATGGATGGATGGATGGATGGATGCAGGCGTCCTCAGTTCAGCACTGACATCTCAGACGTGGTGACTGGGGGATGAGGGGGACTGGACAGGGGGCGATGGACCACCCGCCTCCTTTCCTGGCTGTGGGAAACCACCGCAGGGAAAGGCTGGTCTGATGGAATAGGGGGATGAGGGGTGGATAGCTTTTTTGGGGGATAAAATCAATCAGCTCTTGGCACTCACCTCCTCCGGCCCGAGCCGGCTCCGGGGGCTGCATCGCTGCCGTGCAGGAGCTACCGCCGGAGGCGATGGGCTGCCCGGGGAGAGGGCGCAGCTCGCCCCC